AACAGGGACGCATGTGGTTGCGGGGGTTGTCACATGACACCTCCGCGCAACCCCCAAAACAAGGCTCGTATACTTCATTCGGCCAATAGCAACCTGTAATAAAAAAACACAATTATAATAATATGTTTTCTTGCCTGTAACATACCATCAAAAACTTCTTGCTAACTCTTACGTGTAACCTTACTTTTTTTTTAACTTCTTTAAACCATAGTTTTGTCTGATGGTAAAGTTAAGATTATAATTGTAATTATTCAAAAGATAATTTTGGTTTTCATTTGTAATACGAAGTAAAAAATGTTCCAAAATTTAACTTAAAATGAAAAGGTTATTTCTAAATTTATTTCAAAGGTTACCCAACACCGTGTAAATCTTTGCGGACTTTGGGTATTTCTTAGTTCTTTTAGACGTCGTTTTAACGGTTCCATTACAGTTCTCGAGGGAGCTATAAAATACCTTAGACTTACTAAAATACCGTTAGTGTCTAAGTAATATATCTTTCTTATTTCTTGATCAGTTATATAAATCTATTACTTCCAGTTTAAAGAATAAGGTTAACAAAGAAATTAAGAAACGTTTAATATCATTAACTATTCAAGTACCTTTGCTGATTTTTTCTTCGTCCCGGCATCCGCCGCGTTGAATCCAATAAATGAGAACAAAGTAAATCGTAAACGACTTCATCGGATGACACTTTTAAACAAAGTAAACGCAAGTACTATAAATCAATCGGTACGTTGTATTGGCAAGATCTTTATTGCTATAGGAATAGAGTTTAAAATGAAATTGAATGTAATTAATATAGTTAGAGCGTCTTAAAAGGATAAGGTCGTCAATGTTGGTGATAAGGGTATGTGTTTGGTAAACACGGGGCGCTCCGCTAAGCCTCGACTGATTGAATTATTGCTTGCGTTTGCACCTGCACTGCCAGAGACACACAATTGCCTGCTCTCACGTTCCTTTACACCGTAGATTCAGTCTATAAATGGAGCATAGATTGAGTTGTAAAAAAGTCGATTGAAATTATAAGAAAAATATAAATGAAGTTTGTTAAGATGGCACAAGACAATATGTCATTAAAGATGGAAAGTTTACTTACAAAGTATGCAAATCCTTTACATCGCAAAGTTTTAAGTACTCATTTGAAAATAGTGTATGCGTACCGCGTACAATAACTAATACATTTGTATTGAAAAAATTTAACATAAATTTTAACTTTGTTTCGATCAACGTTAAATTTATTTTTGTATCAAAACAAAATATTCTAAAATGTGATACTCTTGTATTATTTATTTAATGAATGAATTACTGTTATAATTACTGAATGACAAATGGTTGAAATGCTAAATAGAATATTTTATGAGATTATCAAAAATTTTACGTGAAAATAATTTAAAATTAATCATAATCGTTCAATAGTATTTTAGCAATGTTTTACATCACTAGTGATAAAATTTATTGAACCCAATCCCAACAGTAGGGTCACAGAACATAATACGTGGAGGGCCGAGTAGTAAATCAGGTTCCTAGTTGTGTAAGCCTTTACTACATAAGTACTTGTAAAGTGATGTCACTATTCACACATTTTTTTAAATTGTTTTTGTTATTAAAATATATATTTATCTTTTCAATCAAATGTCATGTCTGAAAAGTTCATGAAGGTGACTGCGTTTAGTTTTTCTGGTAGTTTATATTTTGTGAAGTTATTTAACGTATAGGAAAGATTCTTGTACATTTTCTTGTTGACTCTGTCATCGTATGGAATACTTACATGTTTTGTTTTTTATAAATAAGCAACAATATAGCTTATTATTATTATATATACTCGGAGCAGAAGTAAGGAGAATGGCCTGAACCCAATCCTCCTACTTCTTTGAATTAGGGACGATAGTATTTATTATACTTTGGGTATTATTTCTTAAATTAGTGTTTTAATATCGATATCGATATAGTTGTAACATCTCTACGTAGGATTTGGCAAATAAAAATCATGATTGCAAGTTGTAACAAGTGCGATGTCTCGGTGGGAGTGCGTCTCGACGCTCCGGGCCTTGTTATTGTTAACACGGCGTTTTATGTACGAGTAGCTTTGCCACGGGACCGGGTTCCGCCTGCGAAAAATAGCTTTCCCGATAAAATATGATTGCATGATTTTTTCCTTTTTTTATTGTTTATGTCGTTGCGTATTGGAAATGTTGTCGAGCGTTCGATTGGATGTGATATTCGAGATTTCTTATTTTCGATACTATCTCGCACGAGAAAATCAAATTGAATTGCTAGCTGACATAAAGTTTTGCGTTTACCGTTGATAAATTAAAGATTCGTTAATTGTTTTTTTTTGTTATTCGTTGTTTTCTGGTTGCTAGGTACAAGATGAGGTCACATATCGTGAGATGTTTCCCGTAAATATAATATTTGGTACCTAATGAGACGCGGGGGGATTACTCGTCAGTATACAGCTTTTATTGACCATTTAATTCATGTTTTAAAGTAGACTGTCGTCGGCATAACATCGATTTAATGTAATTTTGTTCCTGTAAATTATTATAAAGGAACTAATCCTTCCTTGTAACTACTATATTATCCAATGCTAATATAATTAAATTATATTTTTCGACAAATGACGTTTTTATTCTAAACACGTGCAACGCAAATTACAAGTGAAGCAATCTGTTGCCCCTTATATAGTAGTGTTCCAATGTCCAGTTTCTTCAACCTAATTTCACAACCTGCTACATTATTTATAACTCTATGCACCTGCTCCTTAAAGTTCATTATCGATTGACCTTAACATTGCTTGGGATATTCGGTTAAAGTAAGCACTTCAGTCTCAGGAGTACAAAGTCCAATATATTTCGGTAGAGAGCGGAGAAGATATGAGTCTTATTACTGTTTGTAAATAGAACTGGTACACGAAGTAGTAAATTGCGCTCCTTGTTTTCACTATGCCACTTTAGTTTATTACGAATTATTTACTTTAATTGTAGAAAGAACTATATATTTAATAGCGGTCGCCGAATTTAAAAAAAAAACATAATTAGTGGCCTTCTTCCAGACTATGTTCTATGTGTATGCCAAATTTCATCGAGATCCGTGCAACCGTTTTGGAGATACCTTCTAACAAACATCTATCAATCCATCTAAACATTCGCATTTATATTATTAGTAAGATTAAAGTGTACCTGAAACTCTGCTGTGTATTGTAAACACGTTAGAGTATATTACTCCAAGTTCATTGTTAGTAGCTGCTATCTCGAACACGTAGCCTGCAATTCATTGCTCTACCTCTAACTTCGAGTCGAATACCTACGTACTATCTCTACTTACGATACACACGTATCACGTCTCAAAATTACTTTGTTTTGCTAACTGTATCTAATTATATTAGTTTAATACTATCTCTATGATTTTGCTCAGAAATTGTCGTTCTTGTTTCCTATACAGTATATTATTTAAACTTTCTTGAGATATTATCATAAACGAATATTAATGAACTGTTAAACACTTACATATATTTGTGTCGCCACCAACTAGTTTGGAATCCATCGAGCGCCCTTCATCAAGGTGAGTGGGACTAGTATTATTTGACGGACGCAGCCCGTCGCTCACTCTAGCAGTCCAAATATATTTGTTTGAAATAATAATAAGTAAAAACCTCGACTATAATTATGCAAGCGTAATTAACATTTTCACGAGTTTGTAATTTTAGTTATTCGATATTTATGTTGATGTTAAAGATTCATAAGTCAACTATCATCACATAATAGTTAACTGTTGACCTATGAATCTTATTGTTATTTCTTTTGTATTAAAAAAATATATATTTTTGTCACGTTGAAAACAAAAATCACTTGTGTTTTTGTACACTATCAGTTTTTATACTTCTTGTGAACGGTCAAAAATCATCTTTACCAAATAAATGGAACAAAAAAAATTAAAGTAAAAATTGTTTTATATTTTTAAATAAATAAAATTTATATATATTTAATCGATATGTTAATGAAGAAGTATTTAAAATATGGTTCTTTTTCCGAAGTGGGCGGAAAAGGTTGAATTTAAAGTCACATGCAAATAATTAGAACGCAAAATAAGATAATTGGATGCGACGACCGCGCCGCACCGCGCCGAGTGCGGAGAGACGAAGTAATATCGGGTTGAGTGGTGTTTCCTAATTGAAAGTCGCGGTTTGGTCCAATAACAATAGAACGGGGCTCGGTTACGTTCCTCGTGTATAAATTAGAGAATTATATTAATCGCGGATAACAATCGCCCGTAACGCTTAACGAGGCTCTTCGACTCGCTGAATTCGTACATTTCGGAAACACCCCTTTTACCTTGCAAATTGTACAAAAGTCGACGCACAATTATTTGCGCTTACTAAGTATCAGGACGGCTTGTTTTTTTATTCCCCTTGTAATCTTTATTACTATCGATGCATTTTGTAAAAAGGTGTCATATCAATGTTCGTGCAGAGCGGTATTTTTTTCAATGTTGGTTTCGAAAGCTTTCCGTTTTTGATACAGTGGGAATTTTAATAAAAGATAACATTGAAATTGTTGGGTACCTGGGGAAGGATTACGAGAACAAGATAACTGGAATTGTTGTAATAATTATAAAAGAATGGTTACTTAGGAAAATCTCCGTCAAAGACAACGGAACTAAGAGTATCTTTGAAATGAAAGAATAAAGATGTAACATCCCTATTTAACCCAACGCTAGTCCCGTAGCTTTTGTTCGTCGAAAAGTTTACCATTAATTTACATTTCTCGCTTTTGTTCTGCAAGACGTCATCGTCAAATTAGCTGTTTGTTAAACAAACTTATCGGGGCTATGAATATTGCCGACTTTATTACAAAGCTGGAGCAAAAGCGTACGCATTGTGCGAGAACTCACTCACAATAAACTTGAAATGTTATTTACTTACGAATATATGCGCTGTTTAATTTATGAAGTGTCAACTTGAAAGATATTTTGATAAAGAAAATACTAATAATTTGCTTAAAACATTTTATTCTAAACCCAGTTTGATTTTACATTAATTTCTCGACTTTGCCGATTTTTGTTCCACAATCAATCAGCATGCAACTTCCAGTAACACACCTGGCTTTGTCACTGGCGAGGTATATTATCATTTCCGCTACATCTTCACTTTCACATACCATTTTAAGCGGAAGCATGGCGGCGAAGTTCTTCATGAGTTCATCATTGTGCTCACTGTTTATACCGGCTCTTGTGAAGAAGTTCGTTCTCACAGGGCCTGGGTTAACAGAGTTTACTCTCACTCCCTTCTCCGCTAGCTCCATCGCGAGGCATTTAGTGAACATATCCATAGCGGCTTTGGACATACAATACGGCGTCATGGTTGACATAGCTTTGGTTGAAAGGACACTCGATACGTTTACAATGTTACCTTTCGTAGCTTCGAGATATGGGATTACTCGATACGTAAGCATATAAGTACCGCGGATATTCGTTTCCATGATTGTGTCCAGAGGCTTTACACCATCTCTTACGCCGGCAATTATAGACATACCAACATTGTTAACAAGAACATCAATTTTTTCGTAACAGTCTATTGTTTCTTTAACTATTTTCTCAACGTCATCTTCAACAGTTATATCGGCTGAAATCAATAAAGGTGTATGTCCACTTTCGGTTTCACAGTTTTCGGCAACTTTTTTAAGATTATTCATGTTTCGTCCGACGATGGCCAGTTTTGCGGAAGCCCTAGCGAAGAGGACAGCGCATGCCGCACCGATGCCTGAGCTCGCGCCCGTTATTAAGACGACCTTGTTAGTAAAGTCCATTCTAACCGAATGTTGGTTTCCGACTAAGTGACCGAGAGAAACTAAATATGTTATATACGGCTACGTGGCTTACACAGAGTAGGATACAATAGAGGCAGATAAATTATATTTTTCATACGGATCTATTTAATTAATAACAATTTTACGTAGACCCAACAGGATGCTGTGCTCCAATATGGTTAAAAACAACTTTGATAAAAATTAACCGGTTCTAAGGTGAACGTTATTGGGCGTAAGCTACGTTAGATAATATTAGACCAACTGTACAAAGGTTTCAAAATTTGTTGTAATGTATTCTTTTAGATTATTAAAGTACGCGTCCATTGGTCCGAGCCGGACGCACGGCACGCACGGTTTAAACGGATCTGTATTGTCTTCATGGACGCAACGCTATGTAAAATTATACAAAGCAAACTAAAATCCGTTGCGGGCCTTGAATGCGTTGCGTCGAATAGATGAGTACCTTAAGTACATACATATTTAATCAACTTCTGGGAATTGTTTTGTGACAGTCTGTCGTTATCATAGTCTTTGACATTTTATAAATACTCGTCACAAATGTAATCCCATAGATGTGACGCAAGAGGCGCAGAAACCAAACCGCGGCAGTGCATGTGTTGTGTATAACGTATTTACTCGTGTGTATTTGGTTACGTTTTATTTAATACGCTCTACGTATTTTATTGTTAGAAATAAATAACCGTGACGCCCTCACCTTGAACTATGATGGCCTTTTGAAGTGTTAATGTCGCGCTTGTTATGAAAAAAAATACTTTGAAAATTTAAGATTCGATAATTTATTTGTTAAGAAGGTAACAATTACAGACTTTTTGTGGTGTCTTTAAGTATTCGCCTATGGTTATTATATGCTATGTATTATATACATGGTTATTTTACTAATCTTATAAATGCTTATGTTTGGATGGATGGATGGATGTATGTTTGTTTGAAGGTATCTACAGAACGTCTAAATGGATCCCGCTGAAAATTGGCATAAATGTAGAATATAGTCTGGATGAACTTATAGGCTACTTATTAAGTTATTTTTTTAATTCCGCGCGGACGAAGTCGCGGGCGAGAGCTAGTCATATCATAAAATGAGTGCGTAATTTAGATAAATTAATGTTTTATTTTTTGTACAGTTAATAACTTCTATAGATACTTAAGTAATGTAGAGCTTTTTGATATTTTAAACATAATAAAACTGTTGTGTTTGTTCATAAAAATTACGTCTAGAAAACCTTTGAACTGTTTCAGTTGTTAGTTGCGTCGTCTGTGTATTGATTGACATCTATTGTAGAACGATTCAATGAGGAATAATTGCTTATCAAGAGTAATGAAATAATAGGTACACATCAGGAACAAGAGGGCTTCCTGGCTTGTTGGATAATGAAGTTTTGGCTCATTTAAAGTAATTTTTTTAGTTAAGGATATTTTTTATTTAAATTATCGCACCGTTATTTGAAGGAAGGTCAGGTTACGTCAAATTTAGCAAATCGATGGTTCCTTTACATGCAAGTAAGTTGTTAATACGTGAGTTTCATTTTATGTTTGCATAATCATCAGAGTCCTCAACAGTTGCGGTTTAGTTAAAAATTAACAAAGTTTATGAAAACTTTTTGGACGTCCTTTAAAATCACGTAATTAAGACATTACACAAAGAGAATTAAGGACGGTTTCCGAAGTAAACTTACAATAGTTTCAGTGATTTTACGTCGGTTGTAATGTTATATTTAACAGAGACACATATATGAATATAATCTTTATACTCAAGGTAGGATAATAAAACAATGTTTGATTCAATACAGTTTATTTATATAGTGTCGTTGCGCGACTGAAAGAAATATTGAAGCAGCTATATACAAAAGTTCGCTTACATTATACAAAATAATACAACTTACATTAAAAGCTCCCTATAATTTGTCTTTGGCACTTGCATTACGTTAATATTCACATTATACTAAACTTAAAGAAATTTTAGGACAAGTTAGACATTTTCCATCTTATATAATGTAAGAGATCAAAGTACAAAGTTGAAATAGTTTCTTATTATATAATACTTATGAATTACAAAGTGACGATTTATAGAAGTCCAAAAGCTGAAATTGTGTAGCAGTAAATAATTACGCAAAATGACAACGAGAATAAGATTAACAAACAAAAAGAATCAATAAGGTGACTAGAAATATTATAATTGCCAGTAATTGACATTTCGTTGTGAAAAATTATATATATGATTCCGTTTATCCTTATGTTTAATAAAGTCTTATTCAGTTCAGAAATATTTGCACAAAATGGGTAACAAAATGACAGGAAATATTTTTATTTTGCTACATTCCTAGCTTATCTGTTTATGAAATCAAATGTTTTTTTTATGTTATTAATGACATTGACTTACAGATTTTAGTAATAACTAACACTTATTAGTGAAGAAGATGAAAATTCTACTAGAAGCTTAAATTAAGTAAAAACACTACGGTAAAATAAAATTCTACTAAATCACAACCAATGCTTATAATAATTCTTTACGGTAATTAAAACTAACATTAAGAGTAAATTTAATAGTTTTATACAAATAAGTTAAATATAAAAAAACTAGAAAGGAAAATAAATCCTTATAAGGTGCACTTTTAATCTACAAGCGTGTGGTCAATACAAAGCTTCTATCTATATCTAGACATAGATTAAATACCTCCAGATATCCGGTTTCATGTAAATTAAACGTATACAAAAATTACACTATATTAAGGTACCGTGTATATGAGAAAATATACGATCAAACGAACTTCTCAAGTGAAGGTTGAACGTTGTTATATGAATCGCTTCATTTGAAGATATAAATATTAAACAAGTAGTCACCTATTAAATTATTCAAACTTTCGTGAGACATTATACTAAACTGATATATAAACACGGCTAAACACTCACGTATATAAGTTAAGTAGTCACCTGTAGGTTGAGGGGCCTCCTGGTTAATACTTACATCAAAAAATTAAGCGATGTAATATAATTGTAGTTACAACAATTTCCTACATTTTTGCTTGTAAAAAACGAAAACAAAATTATTTCTTTTATATTTTTGAGGCAGACTCGACACTGTTTCGAATTTAAAATGTTATTTCGGAAAACATTCCTTAATGTTTACGCGGTAGTTTACGAAGTCACAAAATAGTGACTTTAAGGGCTTTACATTCAGGGCCCGGTTGAATCTGAAGGTATATACAATACGAAGCTTAGCGTAGTCCTAGATATATACAAAAATATCTATAAACGCTGGAGGGAGTGCGATACTGGACGTTCGTGTTTTAGATAATATTTAGACATGTGTTACAATGTAGTACTAAAAATATGCTTACAGTAAATTTTTATCGATTTTTAATTTAACATTTAATTCACATTAGTAGTAAGAAGATGCAGCGTTGCTAATTGTAAAGTAATAATTAAAATAATTAAAACTGTAATCGTAAAAAACAAATATTCCTATTATAATTAATGTAACATCTTACTTGACTATTGAAGATAAAAATTCACAAAAGTGGTGCATTAGTATAAAAAAATGGACGTATTTAAATAAAGAAGCTCAAAACCTATTTCCATGAACATACACGTCCCATGATACAGTCATAGCGACTGCACGTCAACTGTTTTGCTTGGCCATCTTAAAAATCACGGCAACTTTTTTGCTACGACATTAACAAACAGGTATTATGCGACTGGCATTGGCGATGAAAGAATAAAATGTCAGCGACGCGTATTCTTTTACGAACCTCTATACTTAAGTAGCTTAGCGACTAAAATCGCTGGGTTTCCAAGATTTATCTAACCTTGTGTATGAAATGCCTTAGTTAAATATGAAGTGACAGAAATCTGTCGTTACTTTACAGTACACACTGGAATAATACTAATCTTAATACTTCCATCAAGCAGGTACGTTTGACTCTTTATCCCTCATTATACATTTACCCTATCGTATCTAATTAACACAGAGTAATACAAGAAATTACAATTTTATTTACTAATGCTACATTTACAAAACAATGCTTGGGATTAATATAAATAAAATAAAAACTACAAATAAAATGCTACCGGAAATAAACATGAATATATCTACAACTTTGTCTAATAACATGAGATCTGACTGCTATGACGTCATGAAGTTGTTCTTGTACAAGATACCCAAAAGTACACATTATAAAATAATAATATCGTGACTATAACGAACGCGCGGGGTATTAAGACGAACATCTCATGTTTTTTTGCTCGCGTAGTACCTATTGTAAGCAATAATTTTTTACACTACCCATGGTTAGAATACAAGGAATCTACTAGACAAGACTACACTACAACTACAGCTACGAATACTAGTTATTTTTTTTAGATCACATTATCGCTTTGCAATATCTTATAGCCTAAAGGACTAGCACAATTTTGGAATATTTTTTCATTATTCATCAGTTTAATTATTACATTTTTAATTGATGAAGGAATTCAATATACAAATAAATATTATGGATAAGTCAATCGTAAGGTTAACCGTCTTATAACGTTTTAATTGCAATTAGAAAATGAACTTGAATTTTCAACAATAAAAAGAAATTTCTAATAAAACTATAAGCATATGAAGGACAGGTGAGAGTAGTGCTATTATCGCGATTAGTTCTGCTAGAAAATATAAAAAATATGTATGTACTTAGGTATAGAAAATAACCCACAAGACAATATATGACAAGACAGTTATGACAAGGATCATATAGCACTTTTTTGACATTGATGGAGGGCGCTACTGAGATGTACAATGTATTATAGTTTCACTTTTATTCACAAAACCAGATAAGATTGTTCTATATAATGATCTGTATATATTAAGTCTAGCTTACCGTGGCTTTCTGACACCAAAATCCCCGTTTATAACTTTCAGTTATCTCTGTTTTGTCAAAGATCATGGATGACGATTTGTTTTGTACAGAGATTTTAGTCTCAGAAATCAAAGGTTAGTCAAAGTGGTGGTTTTATGAC